ATAATTCCGCCTTCGACTACATTCAACGTTATTCACAACCCATACTTTCATTTTCCGACGCACGACCACCCAAAATCCACGTCCCTCATCAAACAATAATATAGCTAAGTCTGAAAAAACTGTTATTTTGATGAACGCTAAAAATTTCTGCTTAACCAATGAAAATTTCTACAATCTCCTGACAAACAAACCGAGTTAGGGGATAAGGCTTATTTCAGCCATTGGTAAAAGATGCCGCCGGATTGTCTTACAAAAAAACAGAATTACTTATTTTTTAGTTTATTTATCTACCGGATTATCAAAAATATGGTTCTTAATTGTTCAAATGAAAATACAAAATCCTACATCCTCAGCGTTTGATATATTCGAATGAAATGCCCGAATTTTGATGTTTTTAACCTGCGTAGGGTGGATAGGAAGTGGGAAGAGAGAGGATAGTTATTTCACAGGGAGCAATAAAACCCGATATTTACGCTGCAAGTCCGTATAATGTTAATGCTAAAAACCATAGTTACAGGATTTACACGATATTATCACTTTATAGCTGTCCAAAAAATATTCGATGGTGTTCAAAAAGATTACTGACCGGTATTCGATATGTTCAAAAGCCTAATGAAATTGAATGATATAAAGCAGAGGTGGGCAGCTTCAGGTAGGCTCGGAGCTGTAGCCATAAAATTATTGCGGTTTCAATTATAAGGGACCTAACGTTATTGCCATACATTCGTATGGTGGGGGTAACAACGGAAGATGGCACATGCGCGTGGTTGAAATGCGCGGTCAAAATGCTTTGATTTTTTATGCACGTGTTTGGACATTTTATTTTGATTAAAAAAATGGAAGTAATATGATCTTTCGGATTCAACATTCATTGGTGGAAATGAAAGTGGGAACTTGAGAGGGATAAATTTCATCAGGAATAATTTTTCAAATGTCGATCACCACTAATATTCCCACTCATTTGGTCCAGTTACTCAAGCTGGTCCAAAAAATTTCAAATTTTCCTTGCTTTTGGAAGAAGAAATCTTTCTTAAATATGAAATGTGGATGTGGAGAGGAAATTTTTCCTTTTTTTTGGGAACTTAGAGTGATTTATGAAAATGACCTAAAATGCTAGCAGTAATGGAAATTCGACAACTCAATTTTCCTTCTCTCAAGTTCATGATCATCCGACTTATATTTTTATGGTTAACTGTGGAATTTCAAATACCATATTACCTTTATTTTGTGGCCCGGAAAAAAAAGTCCCAATACGTAAAAAACATAGTTTCAGGACGATTTTACAGAAAAAAAAGAGTAGACTGATCTGTATTGATCACCTCAATAAATTATACGTTTAATATCTCCAAAGACTAAAGGACGCTGATAATGTTTTTCATGGTTAGAAGTTTGTGAATTTTAGTTTAGCATCGAGAGCGGGAATATGCAAACGAAGAGGTTGAAAATACATGTGGAAGACGCGCATTGTAATTGAATTTCGCAGGAAAATGTACTTCACGCCATCTAATATAGATGGTTTTTTGTCACGACGTCCAACTAACCGACTTCTGAATAGACCTGGTCTGTAAGTAACACTTATCAGGCCTAGATCTAAAAAGAACAAGGCTAGATCGGGTCTAGTGACAAAACGATATAAAATAAGGTACCTATATAAGATATCTTATAATCAATCTTTTCCAATTTTCAGGATATAGACGGCCACTCTTTACTGCTTCTGAAACGTTCTGATGTTCTCATTGGCCTTGATTTACTGCTCGGGCCAGCCCTAAAAATCTACAGGCATGTACTCAAGCTGCAAATGCGCCGTGATGATCCTCGTTTCTACTGGTTATGAAGAAATAGTAATTTATGCTACTAGGGCTGAAAAGCTATTCAATCTAAAATACGTTGGGAAAACACTTTTCAGACCGTGTGGCATATGTTACTTTATGTTGCGAGGTCCGACTAATCAAGTACTTATTGCCGCAAGGCGGTAAGTAAAAAGAAAGGCGATAAGCCGTCACTTATCTCCGTAGGGCGATAAGAGAACGAGGCTAGGGTGGGTTTAGTGACAAATATATTTTGCAAGTTGATAGCTTTTGTTGCAAAATAGCACATTTACGCTCAATTCATTATGGATTATTCTTGATCTGACAGAAATATAATTAGTGCGCCAATCTATTGTGTCCAACCCCTTACGAATGACGCGTTTGGCACGAGTCCTGTCTGTATCACCTAGGAAGCTTATCCGGTAATACAATTCCACTATTTGAATGATAATAATTTCAGAGCAATTACCCGAAAACTTACAACGGATGACATTGATTGCAGTTGTTCATATGATCAGATTTATTCATAGTATTCAACGGATTCATTATTGATATGGATTTCTGTATTTTAACGTTTCGTTAAACTAATGTCTATATTTTCAAATAATTAATACCTGAGGTGTTTCAACTCGCGAAATTTACAACCACTAAATTATGTAGCCAATGAACTATTTCCTTGTGTAAATTGTTTAACGACTTGTTATAAGACCTTTTTAGTTTTTTTTTGCCAATTTCCTCAACAAACAAAACAATATCGAACTTTCTGAACCGGATGAATGAACTTGTGAATGATTTTGGAATTGAATTTCGATTGTAGTCTTTCACTGAACTGACAACAAATAAAATTCTTAAAAATTACAATGCCTCCTTTTATTTGCATTTACTATATTGCCTACTTCCATTTTATCGTTTCATCCTGAAAGGTGTACTATAGGCCTGCGATACTGCGTAATAATGTGTATTATGCGTTGACAATGACGAATAGGCATTTGTGTCAATCATCGCTCTAAATCACGCCATCAAGCAATTAATGAAAAAAGATTTTATTCAGAAACCAAATTAAGTACCAAATGATATTTTTCCAAGGATCTTTATGGTTCATCTGTCTATAACTAGAGAATTTATAAACAATGTTGGTGTTATTTCATACTCCATAAAATGTCATTGTTCCGTTGGCGACAGTGGTCTATATGATTAATGTTTTTAATTGAGAGGTGTGAATCCTCTGCTTTTTTAAACATACAAGTAGGTTTGTTAGTCAATATTGTATTTTGTAAAAAGATTGTTTGAATACTCATACTTACGTTAGATAGGATTAGTATTTCAACTGTGACCTTGGCTGGTGAATTAAATGAAATAATTCCCCACGAACGCACAATGATTTCGGTAAATGGGTCAAGGTTGATCCCTTTCAAATATTAAGTTACTAGGAAGACCTGAAATTACAAAGGGGGTGGGGGTCGAGGGGGAATGAGATACTCGGCGGGAACATATGATAATCAAGTATATTTACAAAAAATAATAGTACAATAGAGTTAAACAAATTAATATTCTTGGGCCTTTTTATTGACTAATCAGCTCGAGGGTGGAGGGTAAGATCAGTCAATTTGCGGTAGCACAAAATTATATCACACAAAAAAAAAGAAAGGGGAAGAAGCTATTAAGAGACAAACAGAGTTAGGGGGACTATCGGAAAAATTATTATAAAGGGTAACGTCGGTGGGGCAGGGAGGTAACAGGTGGGCACTCACGGTGATGGTCGCCAACACGTCTCGTGCTCACCGATAATCCTTCCGCTTCCGTTCTACACGCTTCTTCCTCTCCTTCCTTACTGTTGGGTCCAAATGGCTTTGTCTCAACACATGATTCCTCCACAAATCGCTTCCCACGAAATCTCTCCAGAACTCTTCTCAACTTTTGCACCAAAAGTTTGCAACAACATGCCGTCACTCATCCTCGCTTCTTCTTTGCCGATAATCGGGGTTAATAGGGGGCACTCATAATTGCGTGTCCTTTTCCCTTTTTTTTCTCTGTGGGCGTCGGCCGAGGGACGTCCCTTTGTTCCGGATCGGTGGTTCCACTACATCATGTGGGTCATTTGGGCTTTTGCCCGTATCATTTCCATCCGTTGACCAGCGCGGCGGCGAAGGGAAGCAGGAGGGTGAAGGGTTTTTCTCTTCTTCCTTGCGATCGTCTTCGTGTTGTGAGTACCGTGGTAAGGAGAAACGAGGTGGGGGGAAGGAAAAGTTCGGGAGTGGGAACCCAACAGTGACAGGTCTTATAACCTAATTTGCATTCATTTTATGGATCCTTTCCTTTTGAACTCAAAACTACCTTAAAACTCAATTGACACCATATAGATCTATTTTAGGAGGCAGGGGGAGGGCCGTAAATCACTGCCTCGTCACAGTTGCCCCCGGGGCAGAGAACTTCATCTTGAACGATACTAAACCTTTAACTCTCTTTTAGGCTTTTACAGCCAAGCTGACTTCGGGAGTGAAGAGCTGGAAGGAAGGCTGTGCGATTAATCATACATTCATTCGACCAGTATCAATCAACCTTTGTTCTCCCCCTATTAATTCTCTTATCTAACGAGTCAGTTATTATTTACAAAAAAAAACAAGGGGAGAGTGCATAATAACGATCCCGCCATCCAGAGAATTTGTATTTATTCGATATATGTATAAAAAAGAAAAAATGTACAGCAAATCGCTCTCAACGACGAGATCAAAAACAAATACTGGGTCTTAGACCGCGATCTGTGGGGAGGATGTAATTCCTCCCCGTACCATCGAGAAGCGAAAAAAAAACCAAACGAACAAAAAAAACGACGCCAGTGTCTCACACAGGTCCTTCTAGGGGAGATGTCGGCAGTCGGCGCATGTACGCACATCAGCTCCCCAGTGGCTGCAGAAGAATCAACGGCGCTCCGCCAGCAGGCAATCCCACGCATTCGTCGCCGCTGCACTTGCGGCAGCCACTGAAGAGGAGGGGAGAGTGTGGGGGGATCGGGAGGTAGTAGGGTACCCAGGAGGCGGCGAACCTCCCGGGGTACGGGTGTGGGAAGGGTAAGAAGGGATGTGGGTCTCGAGATGTGAAGGGAGGTAATGGAGATGAGGGGAGATTCGCGGCGTAAGCCTGCAGCGCGGTTCGGCGATGGAGGGTGGGGGGAGAGTGGGATTAAGAGTGAGGGCGTTTAGGGACAAGCGTGGGGGAAGGAGAATCAGGGGCGGGTATTGGGGAGCCTGTGCATGGGGTCGTCAGGGGCTTTTTAATTTCTTTTAATTTTTAATATTTTTTTTAAGAGGTTTTTGGGAAATCTTCCAAAGATTCTGATCAAGATGGTCGAAGCCAGATCTGAGAATCGTTCCCCTGCCGCCCGCGGAACCGCCGGCAGGCATTACGTCACGGGGCGAGACATCAGCAGCTATGGTCCGCTCTCCCTGCAATCAGACAAGTTTCTCGCTCAGTCACCCTGCCAGCGCTTGCTTCCCTTCTCTGGAGCTCATCCCTACGTAGCTCTCTCATCACCTCCGCCGCAAAGTCACTCGTGGCCTCCCAGTCATCAACTTTCGAGTTCATGACTGCGACCAACCCCTCGGGCGTGGTTGGCCCCCCTATCCTCCCCTCCCTCCGCTCGCGGCTAGGTGTAAACCGCGAGTAGGAAAAGAAGACGTGTTCAGCATCCTCGGTGACCCCTAAACAGATCGGGCAATCCGACGAATCTGCATGCCCGAATCTGAAGAGAGGCGCCCGGAAACATCCATGTCCCGAGAGCAACTGTCGATCCATATGCTCACATCCGGGATAAGGTTATAAGTCCATCTACCCTTCCGCGAGCCACGCCACTTGGCTTGCCAGCTGGCGATGCTTCTGCGTCTAGCCATAGCAGCCACCTCCGTTACAGCTATGTTATGTGTTGGGATAAGGGATGAGTAAGATGGTAGTTGCTCCCTCCGTCAGTATAGAAAGCTCCGCTTCTCTACCAGGATCTCAATTGGTAGCATCCCAGCGATGATCCCGATCGCATCATCGGATACCGTGCGGTAGGCACTGACCACCCTGATTGCGCTGAGCCTATACCCTGCCACCATCCTACCCCTGGCTCCCTGCGTGCAAAACGCCTCCGACCAAATGGCGATACCATAAGTTAGATATGGTCACCGATACCAGCAGAGCTCTCCTTCACTGACTAGGTCTACCCACGTTCCTAGAGAGTGCCGCCCGGACACCAGAGGCTTTGGAAGTGGCGCGCTCCACTTGCTGCTTAAAATTAAGTCGGGCATCGATCATCACCCCCAAGTGAAGGGAATGTATGGCTTGGAACTGAGCTCGAAGTCGCCGACTCGCAGCTTGATGGTCTCCAAGGTTCTCCTGCCCGAGACCAGTACAGCCTCCGTCTTGTGTTCCGCCAAAGATGTGGGGGCTAGGCACTCGGTATCACCGAGCTCTGCCATGGCTCCACCACCCGAGCGCCAACGTCGGAAACAGGAACTAACTTCCCGACAAGATTGAAACGCTTGGGTAGTTTCCTTCCTGTTAGATATAGTCGTTACGCCACAGCTTTAGCGTGCTTAAGCATATACTTATATTCATATTAATTATTCCACATTAAGAGAACGTTATCTTTTGTATTTCCTGAGTTAGTTAATAAATACGTAGTCAATTCTAACCCAGAATAATTAATAATATAGTAGGCTTAAACAGAATTACTATAATTGGTGACCCCAACGTGATCCACACGGATTACAAGTGCAACCTCAATTCAGCCACGTGTCTAAGCTTACTCTCATCAATCCACTAGAACCATCGAGCGCTCTCCGACACGCGACAATCAGATCAACGATCAGTCCATGAGCCAGCATCCTCACCAAGGTGATAGCCAAGGTACTCAGCAGCAAACCAACCGTTCCATAACGCAGACGGGAAACATCAACTAGCAGGGGCTGGCCAATCTCCTTGGTCCGTTTGCAGCCCATCCACCCTATGCACCAACTGGTCCTGCAAGCTTTCCAAATTACTACCCCTATGTTGCAGCCCACCATGATGGTGGTCATGTCTATACTCACTTCAAACCACCCAAGTTCATCAAGGAGGATCCTGAGATCTGGTTCATTTGCCTTGAAGTCCAATTTCGATCCAGACGTATCACCAGTGACCCAACCAAATTCGATGTAGTCCTTGGGGCCATGGACCCTGAGCACATGAGGAAAATCTGTGACATCATGCTGTCTGCACCTGACAAAGATAAGTACCCCTACCTCAAGCAAGGAATTATCAAGAGATTCTCTGAATCAGTTGACCAGCGTTTGAACAAGTTATTGACAGGACTTGACCTAGGGAACACGAGGCCCAGCCAACTTCTCAGGGAGATGAGGAACCTGGCGTTCTGGAACAGCCACAGATAAGCTCCTGCGTAGCAGATGGCTAGCCCTAGTTCCTGACACTGTTGGTAAGATCCTGAAGGCCCTTTCAGAGGAAAGTCCACTCGAAAAGCTAACTGAATCTGCAGACATCATCATGGAGACGACCCCTGGTACATATGTCATGTCCAGCACTCCTTGGTAGCAGCCACTGACCGTTGCAATGCTAATTTAACCGATCCAATACTGCACAGGCTGGGTGCCCTGGAACAGAGTTCCTCCCCGTTAGCGGGGGGTTGGGAGGTAATAAAAAAAAACAATTTGGTATTGCTTCGTCCTTCGATGGTGAATTATGATACAATATTTTTAATACTTTGGTATGCTTTGTTTAAACAAAATAAATTTTTATTTAAAACAAGCCTCGTTAGCGGGGGGTTGCAATTTTTTTCGACCATCAACCTCTCATCTGACGTAAAATTG